AAAAAAAATGAATCCTATTCTGGTCATGGTGTAGTCCGCTTAATGCAGGGTGTCTGCTCTAGACAGGTTCAGTAATAATTGCCCTCGCATGGTTTTGGCCCAGAGACCAAAACCTGAGGAGGCATCATTAGTACCCCCCGCATATAAAGACTTAACGGTATATTGGTAGTATTTGTCTGTAGTATGGGAATCGATCCCGATTTGAAGAAACTAGGTGCACACGGTGGTCCCGGTTAATATACTCCAAGCATGTTGATTTTACTGCGATCAAGTAAATTTACTTCGAAATGGCGGAGATTCTGAAACTGATTTCAAAGATCCTGAAGATGGATTTTGGGATAAAAACAACTCAGAGGGTATCATAAGTAATTCTGAAGTACCAGTAAATCTTGATGTTCGAGGGGAGTGTCGCTTCGCTCGTGTTCAGTTGTGACTAAAATACTGTTCTGATCACCAGTTTTACCTTTGCACGTCGTTTTGTCGGATTGCTTATTTGTGTTGAGTAATCTCATGTGGCAGAGAGCTCTTGTCACAGCTGGGTGACTTGGTAGGAATCCAAACGTTAATGTAAATGTTTTGCAGCGTTTTTGTTGAGGACGAAGAACTTGAGTCTAATTTGCATTTATGGAGGTGACAGTAATGTGACACTTCTGTTAATAACCTGAGTATCAGTGAGGCCTTTCTTAGGCCTTTCTTCTCTCACAAAAAAAATCATGACAGCAAGTTCCAGATGATTTTCTTAACTGCTATTCTGCTTTCAAGACACGTTTGCTTGTATAACAAGAAAAATGGTTTGTTTCATTACCAAATGCAAACAGTAGAGTGTTTTGACATAATATTTTGTTTCTCAATTATTTTTTAACCTTTTTCCCTTAAGTTTTACTGAGTGAAATTTTAGTAACAGTTCCCATGAAGGATACCTTTTTTGTCACAAAGTAGTTTTTGTGTCCTTTCAAACAAAAACTTATGGCTGTTTGGAATGGATTGAGTTAAATAGAAAGTGTTGGTTTAGTTTACTTAGTTGAATGTTTGGATAATAACCATGATAAGATGCGTAAGTTATAGGAACATTATGAGTGATATAGTTTACAGGAAAAAAAAAAGATATAGAAGTTTTAGTTCATACAATAATGTTCAATTGTTTTCAATAAGTAGAAAT